CCCCAAAACCCCAAAACCCCAAAACCCCAAAACCCCAAAACCCCAAAACCCCAAAACCCCGTCTTGGGAGAATATTTTTGAAAATATTACCATTGATTATTAATAATAAAGATGAACAAGTTTGCAACCACTTGTGCTATTCTGATGATGTGCGTTCTCGCCGTCTCGGCAAAAGCGGATGGCGAATACTGCTACGCACTTGCACTCCAAGGAGGAGGAGATAAAGGAGCATACCAAGCTGGAGCTCTAGCACAGATTATTGAGGATAGCGACCCATCTGAAATTCAATATGATGTTGTATCTGGAGTCTCAGTTGGAAGTATCAATGCAGGATACTTCTGTGAATTCCCAAAAGGTCAAGAATTAGATGCCGTAGAAAGCATGCTCAACCGTTGGGATCACCTCTCATCAGACAAAGTGTATAAAAACTGGAAATGGGGAGGACCTGTCAGAGGAATCTTCAAGGAAAAGTCATTATATAACAGCTCTCCCTTGAGAGAATACTTGCAACAAGAAATTAAAGAACCTAAGAGAGGAATTATTGTTGCTGCTACTAATGCTCACCTCGGTACTCAAAAAATTTGGGATGAGAATGACTCACTCGAAACTCTCCAGAAAGCAATCTTGGCTTCATCCTCCTTCCCAGGATTCTTTGAGCCTGTAGATGACTTGGGTGATGGTGTTACTTACTACGATGGTGGTAATAGCTACTCTGTCAATATTTTCGGAGCTATCAATAAATGCGTCGATTATGGATTTGACTATGATCACATCGTGGTCGATGTTATTATGAACTCAGGAGCAGTCCTGAACAAGATGAATGTCTCAGACTATAAAACTCTTCCGATGGTGATGAGATATTTGGAGATCGAACGCTATTACGACACCATGGAGCTTTTAGAAAGAGCACTTCAAGATTTCGAAGGTGTAAACTTCAGATACCTTGTTGTACCTTCTAAAAAGGTCGAGCCAACCATAATTCCAATGGACTTCTCTCACAAAGAAATCCAAAAGATGATTAAAGAAGGAAGAGAAGATGCTAAGAAGGTTCTTTCTGAAGAGCACGGAGCCAATTACAGAAAAGTGCTTGAGTTCCACCAGCTCAAGATGAATGCTCAGTTCAAGGGAGACTATGCTGAATTTCTTAGTGCTAGGGAATAAATCTTTCTAAAACCCTTTTTATAGGGATAAAAGCCTAGTTCAATCCGATTTGGTTAAAAAGGGGTTTTGGGGTTTTGGGGTTTTGGGGTTTTGGGGTTTTGGGGTTTTGGGG